TGGTGGCCATATAGGATCTTAGTGCTTGCCAGGTGAGGATTTAGCTACTGAGCCAACAAGCTGGGTCCAGAAATTAGTTGTCAAAGCCGAGTAAACTGTGTTAGGGGTGGAGAGAACAGGGGAGGACTGCAAAATAAATGAGTCAGGTTATTTAGCCCTGAGGAGCTATAGTCTGGTGAAAACTGAGCATGAAATGTCACGAGGACAGTTAAATGCTGAACAGAGACAAATGCATGTCTTAGGATTTCAGGAAGGAAGAGATCTTGGAGAGTAACAGGGCGGGGAATCCTCAGCCAAATCAAGGCCAGCAGGGAATGCCAGTGGCCTCATTGGAAGATAAAAAGTGGAATAGATTGGCCAATTTTCCTGGCCAAGCAATGCAACATGTTCTGGATCTGGGGATGAACTGATAAGGACTTTGTCAGCCAGCAGACCTTGGAAAGATTTTCTCAACCCTGGAGCAATTAAGCTGATGACTTCTCAGAATTATCAAAACCACTCCGAATACCCTCAGAACTCTCTTTTCCATGCTAGGGTTTCTAAGTCATCATCAAATGACTGTCTCCCATCTTTGGGGCCCAAAGTAGTTAAAAGCAAGGAATGCCCCTCTCTTTCCCCTCCTGCAGACACAGGAGAAAAAAAAAGAAACATTTGACCCACACATCATCCTCCATACCTCAAACTTTCCCACCCTAATCAGAAACCTACATGGGTGTGCAAGTATGTAAGCAATATTAAAAATAAAATTTCTAAATGAGAGGAAAGCTAGCAATATGTTTTTATGTATCTAAATTTGCAAATGCTAACATCAATAAATCCATTATATTTGAATCATTAAATAATAATAATCCTTGGAAATATGGTTAGAACTGGAAACATAAAGGAAATCACTTTAAGTTTTACATTAGAACAAGATTAATAAAAGTCTTAGCACTAAACCATCATCCAGTGGAAAGGGAGTCCTATGTGGTTTCAAGGCAGAATGGTGAGATATCTAATTACATATAGAAGGGCTGAACATTTGGAGGTGGCATTTAGAAAAGGATCCTGAGAAGACTTGAGAAAACCATCTTTGTACTGCAGATAGAGGTGTCCTTGGCCTGTTAGTAACAATGTGTGAGCCTTGGGTGTAAAGCAAGCCACCTGGCAGCCCAGGATGGACTATGGAGAGTCTTGTACCTCAGGGAAGCTTGGGAAGGCACTATGACTAGAGGTCTCAATAAGCTCATCATTTCCCTTTGTAACCCTGAAGATTCAAGCATTGTAGGTATGTTTTTATTTCCAAATAGCTTGTCTTGGTATACAGAATTTGTACTGCTGCTGCTTTTGTAGTTATGTAGCTGTGTAGTTATATATATTTTTATCTTTGATTACTTAAAGGCTTACATCTTGAAATATCATCAGATACTTTTTGATTTTTTATTAAATGTTAAGTAGTTCTTGGAAATGAGGAACCAACAGGTAGCAAAGACTCTCCTGAAACTGACTTTGAGAAGCCAGGAACACAAAACAACCAAGCAACCAAGTAAACTGTGTAATATTTTGGAAGGTTCTAGGTGCCATGAACAATAAAAGAACACCTGGAAGGGAGTTGGGGGATGGTGGTGAATGGGCTATGTAAGGATCTAATATAAATCAAATGGCTGTTGCTGACCACCTGTCAATGAGAAAGTGACTTTACCTTTTGAAAGATTTACTTATTTTTATTTGAAAGATAGATTTTCATAGAGAGAGAGAAGAGACAAAGAGGTCTTCCATCTAATCCCCAAACGGCTATGACAGCTGGAGCTGTGCTGGCACTGCCTTGAGAGCTATTTTCAGTGCTTTGATTGAGATGGGAAGCTGTTGGAGAGTTTAAAAAAGAATAGTGAAATTATCTGAACTATGATTGCAAAAGGTTCCTTTGACTTTTATGTTGGGATTGACCATTGAGAGTAAGAGTGAATATGGATGAACTAGGCTGAAAGCTAGTAGAGGCAAGACATAGCCTGGCTTAGGGTATAATTGTGGCGGTGAAACTGTCTGATTCTGGATGTATTTGGGGGTAGAAACAATAGAATTTGCATATGGTTTGCAAAGGGAGAAAGATGGGAAGTGGGGAAAGAAGAGGAATTTGTACCCAAATTACTGGAGGAATTGGTTGCCAGTAACTGAGATGGGAGGTCTAAAAAGGCAATTCTTGAATTTTTGGAGTAATTATATCTGTGTAGCATTACTTTACAAACCAGGTCTGTGGTATTCTAAGTTTTATTATGATTCATAGGAAGAAGTTTGGAAAGTACCTAGGAATTTTGATGCTGAAAAATGGTGATCCATAAGGCAGAAATGAAAATCAAAAATATATTTAAGAATATTTGAGCATTTAAAGGGTAGTAAAAGAAAGTAAGTTCTGCCACCAGTGAGTACATGAATACTGAAAAACTTTGAGGATTGCTTGAATATAAGAAATGAAAAAGAGCTTCATGTGTAATGTTAAAATTACTTTGTTGTATTCACCCAGTGTATACAATTTACATTTTAGTCAGATAAGTGCAATTATAGATTTAACGCCAGTAAATTACTCTCCCATGAGCTTCCTTTAAGTTTTGCTGACCATTTCTGTATTTTTTTGAACAATTTCTGAGGTTTTAAATCATGTGGGCATCTAGTATTTTTTATTCTGTCCTTTGCTTCATAGGAATTTTTTTTTTTTTAGCAGAATCTTTTTCCTGTGTATAAATCAGAGGAAAATAGCAAGCACTGGAACAAGTGCTTAGCCTCGGGATTAAACTGCATGTTTTAGTGCCTATGTCTTATCATAGTGTTCCTGGTTCAAGCCCCAGCTTTGCTCCTGATTACAGCTTTCTGCTAATGTATACCCTGGCAGGCAGCAGATGATGAGCTAAGTCGCTGCATCCCTGCTTCTCGCACGGGAGATACAGACTGAATTTCCTGCTCCTGACTTTTTCCTGACCTAGCCTTGGTTGTTGTAGGCTTTGGGAAGTGAACTAGTGAGTGTAACACTGTCTTACTGTCACATAAATTGATAAACAAACAAACAAAAAAACCCCCAGAGGTTTAATAAAAAAACGTTTTGATGGAGAGTGACATACATTTTCATTCTAATGGATTGTTGTTGTCACAAGACATTCAGGATCCTTTAAAAAAAAGATTTGTGTATTCATTTATTTGAGAGGCAAAGTTTCAGAGAGAGAAGAGAGAGACAGAGAGGTCTTCCATCCACTGGTTCACTCCACAGATAACTACAATAGCTAGGGTTTGGCCAAGCCAAAAGGCAGAAGCCAGGAGTACTTGGGTCATGTTCCACTGCTTTCCTAGGCACATTAGCAGAGAGCTGCATCAGAAGCAGAACATGGGGCTGAATTGTGGAATAACCCAGCTTGAGTTTCTAGCTGTCTTCTCTATGTGGAGTGTCACTCCTGACATCATGTGGTGGTGTGTGTATGGAGTGGCCAGCTTCTATTGGAGTTCAGTCATGAAGGCCCACAACATCTGACTACCTGCCTTAACTTAAACGCTTATCTCCCTAGAGCCAGGATAAGTGTTCATTGTAAGTTCCATTATTAGCTGATCAGATAGGTACCACTAGAACCAGGTCTCCAGGCATAAAAAATAGCTATCAAGAAGAATACTCCAAGACTCCAAGATTGTTGTTCAAAGAGCAGTTCTGAAGATCAGTCTGTCTTGGGAATGTCTAGGGTTTGGAGCAACTTGGGCTTGCTGAGCTCATCCTTTAACATGAACCATGATAGGCTTTGACCTCTGAAGCTAATGCTTCTTTGAGCTGTTATAAAAGAGTGAGTTTTTAGGACCTGATCCTGCAAGAGATAATGAAAGGGTTCACCCCAAGTATACATAGTTTCAAGAACAGTTTAGCAAATTCACAAATGGATGAGTCCATGTAGATTACATGAGAGATGTTACACATACTTTATGGTGCTTTACTTGAACATCCTTGCACGATGTCACGATTCCTCATTTGAAGTTTGCAAATATGGAGCCAGAGGGACAGGAACTGGCCTACAAGTGTATGTGTTATTGATTGGATTCAGGAAAGAGACCACAAAGGGGAAAGTTGGTCTGGTAACATATGTTGACTCCTGAGATAAAAGTCTCAGATGTCAGTTTAAAAAACTGCAAAAAAAATTAACTACTTAGGGAAGGGAAAAAGGATGTCTTCTGTTGAGGAAATTGAATATGTAAAAAAATAGGAACTGGAAATGATTTTCAAATAATCAGTATGAGAAAATATAGGGATGAAAGGAAGAAGTTGGAAGATGAACTTAGTTTTAGATGTAAGATGAATACCTTGGCAGCAAGCTGTAAGGAAGGAGGTAGAGCGAGTATAGGAGATGCATGGTCAGATGGCTGTGGAACCATGCACTGTGCAAAGCCTCGGGCAAGGGAGGCAGTAAAGCACAGTGAGTAGACTCTTGGCTCTGACATCATACAGACCTGGAGTTAAGACAAACTGAACCAGTTATTAAGTGTGCTGGTTACTTTTTAAAAAATTTATTTTATTATTCAGTGATACAGTTCCACAGGCTTTAGGATTTCCTTTCCCCTTCTCCAAATACCCACTGCTGCCCACTGATTTCTCCCACGTCCTTACAATGTCTTTCACAATCAGTCACAAGCTATCATTGTGCTATTTAAGTGTATCCTGACATTGTAGGCATGGACAAGGGTAGAGAATCCAGCATCCGGTTGTCAAGATATATTCAGTATTTTCATTGGGAGTCCATCTTTGAATTGGAAGTAGAGATGCACACTGCATTGTATCTTCACATCTGTATGTGATAGTCTCTATTACACAGTTACTGTACATGCCCTTAAATTAAAAGCCTTGAAACAAAATCAACAACAGAGAGAAAAATGGAAAATTTGCAATGCCATGAAGTTAAATGAGATGTCACTAAATGACTGATGTGTTGCTGAAGAAATGAAAATCAAATATCTTCCTGAAGTAAATGATGCTATTGTGTGACCTATGAGTCAGTGAGAAAATTAATAAGGGAAATATACTTTTTTTTGAATGAATGAGAATAAAAACAGAAATATCAAACCCCCTGAGATGTAGGAAAACAGTACTGGAAAGACTATTGATCTTGTATTTTGAATAGAGGTTGAAAAAAATTCTAACTCTCACTTGCCTCATCTATTTAACCAAACTACCTTACAAGATAGTTTGGGAGGTTAAATAGGATGATGCTGTGTACAATAACTATTAATAATAGTAGAAAGAACTATTTGACAAAGAAGCCTAACAAGAGTTTGCCAGATATGTATTAGGAGATACAAGAGTATATGATTTCCCTAAAATTACATCCTCAAAGTGTCAGGGAAGAGAGTTCCTTGATTCTGGAAAATGAGCACCGGGAGAGGTTTTCTCCAAGGACTTTGCAAAAGGCCTTGGCCTGAGGGCTTCTATTAGTATAGTAACCAAGATTCTCCAGAGAAGCAACCATTGTTATCTGTATCTGTCTAGAAAAAGCTCCTTTATGGGAATTGGTTCATGCAAGTATGAAGGAAAAGAAATTCCATCACCTGTCATTTGTAGATGTGGTTCCAGCCTGAATCTGAAGGCCTGAGAACCAGATGCTGGTGGTGTATGTTCCAAGAAGAGGACAGAAGACCCATGTCCCAGTTCAACCAGTCAAACAAAGAGAAATTCTCCCTTCTGCTTTTTTTTTTTTTGTTCTATTCTGGTTCTCGGTGAACTGGATGAAACTTTCTCACAGTGTAGGTGAACACTGCAGATACAGTGAGATATAATGTGTGTAAAAATACCTGCGCACCCAGAGATCTAATCAAGTTGATGTGCAAAGTTTACAATAGAATGTTAAGAAAAGAAGACATTTTTCCAGAATCCAATGGAGGGAAAGTTGTTGATATTGAATTAAATGTTGTAATGTCATTCACAAGTTAGAGATATGCAGCCAAATGAAAATTATTATGCATTGTCATTTGTTAAAATGCAAAACTTTTAGATTAAATATCAGATTTTTAAACATTGTATTTAAGTGCAGAAGTAACTTTTTAGATTATGTTGAAAGGACTGATATCTTTAAATTTGGGACTGTGTAAGCACATATATGAGTATATGGCTTTCTGCTTTTGGGGGATACCAAAATAGACCTTTCTCTGAATTCCATTTTCCATGAATGTTTGAGGCCTTTTTGTATGGCATATTGGTAAGCTTTATCTATGTATATAAACTTGGTTGATGAAGGAATTGTATGTGAAGACTTTTTTCTTAGAAGTGTTCAATTATTTGGAATATGTATCCTTGAAGTTATAAATTATAGTTGGAGTGACGTCTTGAGATTGAGTATTTTATGTTGTTTAAGATATGTGATTTTTAGGGGCTGTTGGAGAGACTGTAAGGTTGTAAATAAACATGCCTGTTTTATAAATAGCATCTCTTATAGATAGTTTTGTGAATGCTTCCTGCTGGGATCATGTGACATTTCCTCTGTTGAACTGACTTGGCATTCTTGTTGAGAAGAGAAAAGCTGCAGGAATTTACCGAACATTTTTTTTCCTCCAGATTACCCTTTAATCTTCGAGTTTTCAGCTAATGTCATTGTCACAGAAACTCTCGGAGAAAGGTACTATTGTCCACTTTTGGTATGAGACAGGAATGTGGTTCAGGATATAGTGGCAACAAGTTCAAACCCAGATGTCTGTTTTCAGCAGCTGTCCACAACCACTAATCATGTTTGGAGGAGAATAATAACTAACATTTTAAGAAAACACTTACCCTAAGGTGCTAAGTGCTTTAAAGATTTAATTTTGTTTACTCTCCAACCGGTGTTTTAGACAAGTAGCATTTTAAATCTTCATCTTAAGTGGAGAAATAGATTTATGTAGTTAGCTTGTCCTAAGTTGAACAGTGGTGAATCAAGCCATTGGGATTCCCCACACTGGCATCTAAGCCATTTCATTAGTGTCCTATTCATGAAGCTACAGTCAGGGAGAGACGTTTTACTTTGGTTTTCATGAGAGTTTCATGGTTCGGTTTCAGAGCTGTTTAAGACTATGTAAAGTTGCAATTTTGCTGTTGAATTCATCATTTTTATTCATTTTCCTCTGACCCCCCCATGTCTTATTATTTTTTAAAGCCAGCAATGCTACAACATTCTGTTTTCTGGTTAAAGCTGTTGCTGAGGAAGGGATAGTTGATCCTTCAGACCCTTCTAGAAAGTCTTTGATTGTTTATGATTTCATGAAATTTGGGGGGAAAAAAAGAGACTGTAGTTATTTTGGGTTGGGGGTTTGGTAGGATAAACAAATTGCTTTGGTTGAAGGAGAAATGCCTTGTCTTTATTGTCAGGCACAGCTATAAAACTACTGCAATTTTGAAAAACTTCAGAAATACCAATTTCTTAAATACTGATTTAGGGCAGGGGATAATTTTTTCTTGTTTACATTGTATCCTCGGGCCTAGCATAATTCGTGAGTTTAATAGCTACTCAGTACATAGAATAATTAGTTTTTTACCAGAAATTCTTATATCACACATAAATACAGATTTAATGCTTTAATTCTGAATAGCAATGCAAGAGAAAACAAGACATACATAAATGCCTGTATGTTAAAATATGTACTTGAATTATACTCAACGTTGTTAATGCAAAAATAATACTAGAATAAAAATTTGACAATTTGTTGGGATGACCATTTCACTTTCTCTTTAGCCTTTTTGTAGGCGAGAGAGAATTCTCAGGGGTCTCGTTGGTGGTTTTGTTACGCCTTCACCTCTGCCTTGCTTTCTGTTTGCAGTGACGGTGAGGGCAAACTTCGGCTCCTAAGTTACCCATTCATTTTAATTGCCACTCAATGATTCATTCAGGCGGTCTCTGGTGAAAGGGATGGAGTCTGCCGACTTGGTATCAGAAGCTATTTGTGGCTGCTTAAAACATACCCTACATGAATGATTCTCCTGTGAAGAGTTGTCACTGCTGGTGTAGAAGCAACATAAGCTTCAGATTATATCCTGAGACGATGTGGGATTTTCATAGAAACCTCCCAGGGCCAATGGTTGGAGCGTCTTTGATGAAACAGAGCGGAACTTAAAAACTGAAGCTGAAGTTTCTCTAATGTTGTGTCTGAAGGTAGTGAACATCATTATTATCCACAAAGTGGTTTTTCTGTGTGGATCAGGGTTGTAATTACTCCCCGGTGGTGTGTAAATTCTTGAGGACTCTCTATGCTATCATTTTATGTTGTGGATTTTTGGAAATGACTTTTTAAAGAGCTTTTTTTCATTTTATCCTTTAATAAGGAAATAATAAAGGCTCAGTAGTTGTAACTTTGATTAAGAACTCATTCTTGGCTTACAAGATTCCCTGCTCCCCCCTTTTGTTTTTGTTTTTGTTTTGCCTAGGTCTGAAGGCTATACACATCAGGGAGTATAATTTTAGAGAATGATTATATAGTAAGAAGGCCATATGTGTTATGATTTCACATATTTAAGAATAAGGTTAGATCTAATTGACTACAAAAAATTATCAAGGTCCTATAAGAATGTTTTTATATTGAAGAAAAGTTCTTTATAACTATGCATTCAGTAAAATTCAAATAGAAAAGTAATAATTTTTAGAATACATACAGTTTATGAGTTAAACTACCTGATAGAGTGGTACATCTACCACAACAAGAGGTCTGCAAACACTTTGGAAATTAAGTCAGAGCAGGAAATTTGCAGCTAGGATCTGTTAATGCTTTCATTCCATAAGGGTTTACTAAAAGTTTTGCCAGTGACCTAAAGAGGAAGGGTACTTGGATTTCATTGGAAGCATGAACAAGGAATAGTGGCAAGGCCTGACTCCTGCAGTGTCTGCACTTTTCTAGGGAAGAGAGTGCAGTGTCCAGACATCCAGTTGTCTGACGTGACAGAGTTTGTCAAGCATTGGAGCATATCATCCTAGCCAGGGAGGAGTTTAACTATCCTGATCATGTCACTGACTACTTGGTCATTATGTTGGTTGGGTAAACTGGAGCTGTTGCTGTTGGGCTGAGTTTGATGGGAATGATGGCAAAGAGATACAGGGGATTTACATTTTATTCTTCTTTTCTTGATATGATGACAATGTAAAAAAATCAGTCTTTCATGATACCCTGAGGATATCTACAACAAATGCTAGCAACACAGCTTCCTTTGAGCTGCCATGTTGGCAGCCATTCTGACTGGTTGAGTTAAGTCTAGTCCCTTCCTGGTCTCTTTGCTGATTCATTTCTTGTTCACCACGAAGTTATCTAGTAATTCCACTTTCTGTGTCAATTTCCAGAAACTATTTCCAGTCTGCTTGTTAGTTGCATATACACAGATGGAGATGCTGACTTAGGGTTTATGTCTAAGGGAGGTGCAGAAGATTTGGTCAGTAATAGCTGGAATCTCCTTTTCTGGAGTGATCAGCTGCTGCACTGAATACAGTGATGCAGCCAAGACCAGATCCTGAACTGAGGCTAACTCATCATCTCTGACAGTGGTGGCTTCATGGACCCCCTTCTATAATATGGACACATTGCTAAGAAACAGGTTCCTAGCATGAGATTGTGGTTCCCAGCCTTGTTGTCCTTGTGACTTTTTAAGGACAATACAGTAAGAAATAGTCACCTTTGGTAGGTCAGAAATTACTAGCTGGGGAAGTAATTAAGCTCATATAAAATAATCTGTTATCCTTTGGTTTGGAGCAAAACCCCACAAAATTCTTCAACAATGTCAGGAGTAACTTGTTATCCTCTCCAGTGAATGATGGGCTCCTCATGAATGATGGACGGAAATGTCATGAGAATTGCATTAGCATTTCAGCCCAATCTCCAATAAGCAGCATGGCCTTGCCTTAGGCAGAATCTCTGGTTCTCATGGATTTTCTTCTCTCTTTCTCTCTCTCTCACCTATAAAGTATAAATATTTCATTACTTGCACATAAAATAATTTATGAAATGTTAATATAATCTTACATGTATGAAACTACTTTCCTTTTACTAAAAACAAATAGTCATTGAGCTCTTAAATCATGTCAGATTCTATGCTAAGTGCATCATGTATGTTTAGCCACCCTATGAGGTGGGCAACATTTTATGAGAGAATAGAGGCTTTGAGAGTGGAGGCCAGTTAATCAACCCAGCAATGACAGAGCTGGGATTGAGGCTTGTGTTCACCCACCTCCACATGCCGTACTGTTAATCATTATGTTGTGCTCCCAAGATTTGGCTCATATTATAAGAGAGTTTTTAATCAATCTTCATTTGGGACATGCTTTACTTTAACAGGGTGATTTCTCCCCTCTATATTTTTGAAAGGCTATGGAATTGAAAGAATTTTTGTACTACCATGTGTCTCATTCTATAAACAGTCCCGGATCATTTGAAAACCCACGTCTTTTTTGAAACTTGATGTACTAGCTTAGTGTTCAGTTCCTTCTGTGCTTGCTTTGTGTAAAGTGACAAAAATGGAACCTACTCTGTTGTTGCATGCTTTGAATGATTGGTATAGTTACAGGAACGAACCTTGTCTTTGAATGTAGGAGATTAAGGTTCTTGTTCTGCCTCTGAAATTCATTAGCTGTTGTGAAAAGCAATACTATTTTGCCATGTTAACCTCATGAAAGTAAATGATCAAATACATGAATAATGTTTAGGGCATAACAGAGTTTCTCTCTGTCAGCAATCATAATACCTACAGTGCATTATCACAATCAGGATTAAATAAAAGTGATTGAGTCTTAATGTTGGTTTTTGAATATCTACTTAAGGTAGTTATAATTCAGCTGACTTGTCCTAAGTGTAAAGCCAGACTTAGCTGCTGTAGATATATGATGGCCATAGAGACAGAAACCTCATCAAATTGCCACCTGAGTTTTCTTGTAGACATAGGTCATTACTCTATGACTGTGCTGTATCAATTGGTTAAGTAAGAAATTTAGGAATATATTACTATCTAATTTGTGTAGGGTAAGACAGAGTGGAGGTAGAATTTCAGGAGAGCAAGGATCAGTTGTCATTCAAAAACATCCTGACAAATGAATTAAGGATAAACTGTGTATCTAATGGGCTGTTTGGTGTAGCTGATGATTTTGCCATATTGAGCTGGCCAAGTGCAATTTTAAGATTTCAAGGAGGTGGCAGTACTCTATTATGCTACACTCAGTGAACTTGGAGTAAGTAGTTTGAAAGATGATTTACACACATCTAAAGCTCAGATTTATTTCTCCAAGCTACAAAGAAAAGAAAAGTGTGTATGTGTGTGTTCACAGATGTGCATGCCCATTTGTTCCATTGTAAAAAGATTGAATTTGATCTGTCTGGCAAATTCGTCAGCTGTTAGCACCCATTGTTCCATTAATCATTGTCAACATCTCGCAAATCATAGTTACTCAGGTACTACTTCAGCTGTATTTTTGCTGTATTCATCTACTTTTTATCATTGATTTAATTTTTTAAAATTTTTTAAAAGTTAGAGTTACACAGAGGAAGGGAGAGATATAATGCACATGGAAAGAGAGAGGTTTTTGATTGGATCCCTAAATGATTGCAAAGGCCAGAGTTAAGGACAAGCCAAAGCCAAGAGCCCAGAAGTTTCTTTCAGGTCTCCTGCATGGGTGCAGGGATTCAAGCATTTAGACCATCTTCTACTGCTTTCCTGGCATGTGAGCAGGGAGCTGGCCTTGAAGTAGAACAGCTGGGACACAAAACAGTACCATTTGGGATACTGACGCTGCTGGAGGTAGCTTAATGTGCTATGCCATAACACCAGCGCCTTTTGTTACTTTTAAATTTGAATATGTTTTGAACCAGATTTGTATATCTGGTGAAATCCCAGGTTTGAGGTAATAGTTTTCCTAATTAATGCACATTGAAATGTGAATATAAAATTGGCAGGAAACTAGTGCATTTATGGTCCCTTTGCAGGAAACATGAATAATACTTCTTTCATTTAATTTAGCTTTTCTCTTTCTAAAATGAGCAGAATGCTTGGGTGGAGGGTCAAAGGAGAAATTTAAAAACTTGAAATTTGTGTGTGTGTGTGTGTGTGTGTGTTGAATTTTCTAGGCATTCAAAATGAACGGATAGGTATTATATCTCCTCTTAGGTAATGAACCGAAAGCAGCTTTATGTTCAGTTTTAATTAAGTTTAATTTATCTCCTTCCTTCCTTTTCTAAGTAACAGAATGAATGTTTTCTTCTATCTATGTTCCAGCAAAAAAATAAAGAAAAAATTTCTAGGTGATTTGAAAATCGCCTTGGCTTCAAATAAGGAAAAGCAAGTTTCCCTTGTTTATTTTGGTGATGAGATTTACCCTAAGCTGCAGGGTTCAGTTCAGTGCAGCCCATGTCTCTGAGCTTCCTTTTGTGTGCCAGATTTAGTACGTAAGTTCCGTGATGTACGTAGGAAGCCAGGGTTCCCACCTTCTGTGTGGCACAGCAGTGTCAGACTGGAGAAATGAACCCTGGGAAGTTAACAAAGGACTTCAAAGTCAGAAAGATTAGGGGCTGAAGACACTGAGCGGGTACTGAGGCAAATGTCAGGGTTCTGTCTTTTTATGCCAGCTTTGAAGTGATCATTTTGCAGAATTTATGTGGGTTCTGTGTTGGCCCATTTGGTGTTCTCATAGGAATCAACATGCTGAAATTCACAACTTTGCTGCTTTGACGCTCTCGCATGAATTTGAACTAACTGGGGAACCTTTAACAGCTGGCACATTGAGATGGCATCATTCCCACTTGATCTTAGCCAAAAGGCCGAGAAGCGATAGAGATGGCATCATTCCCAAAACAATACCCTAAAGAGGCTCTGTGCTTCAAGATCAGCTCTTCCTGTTTAAATGTGCTTAGGCAGCTTGTGTAACTGGAAGCAAGGTGGAAGAATGGCTGGGATCATGGGTGAGTTGTGTCATGTTAGATGTAGGCCTGCAACATGAAGGGCCCTGGAGCAGCAGCTTGTCTTGGTGGCTATTTCAGTGGCTCTAGGCCTGGAAAGGGGGGTGGTGTGCGTAAAAGAGGAAAAATAAAATAATATCAACCTTAAGCTTTTACATTTAGGGATTGTTTGCACAGAATTTGAGATGGAAACATTTTGGGTTTTTTTTGGTCTCCACATATCTTTTACTCATACCCTGGTAGTCCAAGCCACTCCCCTTATGCATCTATAGCTTAAACTCTCACACATTCAAGGGCCAATGGTTGAGGGAAGATTTTCATTTGCATTCATTGGGGGTCAACTAAAGGGGAAGTCTCTAATTACCCTGTATGCCTAACACCCCTGGCACATTGATTGCATCATTAACAACATCCAGTCTGAGGCTTTTGATTGTTATTTAATTGTTAGCCATATTGCTCTCTGAAAGGAAAGAGGAAAACTCCTAAGGGGTCTGAGCATTACTTCAGACTCGGCCCTGTCTCTGTATTGCCAGAGACCACACCCCTACTCAGGCATAACCTCAGAAGACTGTTTCTTTTGGCTGGGTCTTTGACCTTGACGGATCCAACCAGTCGTCTTGAAGCTTTGGGTGCTAGACATAATACAGGCTGAGTCCAAGAGTTATTTCTATTTTATGTGTTTTAATTAGCATGGCTGTATTGACTTTTTATTCAGAACAAATTCTGTTTCTGGAATAAATCTGAAAGGTTTTATGAAACCACTACCTTTGAACTTCACATATACACTCTATGATCTCAATCTCATTTGCAAAAGAGGGTATCATCTACAAGCAATGCCATCTTTTCTTCTCTCCTGGAGATGTGGATTGGTATTCAGTCTGTAGAAAGTTCTTAGTCTTCTCTCTTTTGAAAGTTATGAGGCATTTTTTTTCCTTGGAAAAATAGTTTGTGTTCAGCTTGGGAGGTTGATTTTTCACCATCGGTTTCTCCCTTTAATAATTGAAAACCACTGTTCATTATTTACATAAAACTGTCTTTTTCTGGTCTGCTTTCTATAACCTTTCCCCTCTTAAGAATTTTAAGAATTCCCTGACTTTCCTCTGGGGGATTTTGTGCCTGCTTTATCCCAGATGTGGGACATGGACCAGGCTGAGAGGTTTTTTTGTTTTTTTTCCCCCCTGTTCTCTCTCTTTTTTCATGTGCGTGTGTGTTTACATTTGAACAATGTTCTTTTAACCGGTGCACAAATCTAACACTGAAGAAAAGGGCTTTTAAGAAAGTCAAGTAGTTAAGAAAATATGTGAGCCGAGTTTTAAATTTCCGACTTACTGAATGACACTGAAATCCCACATGCAAAATGAAAACGTAGACAGTAGTTTCAAATAGTTAAGGGGAAAATGCACAGCTGTAAGTTGAGCCTTCACTTTCTGGGATTTTACTTTCTGATGGAGGGCATGTCAGTTTCCAGTGCCAGAAGCCCTGTGTTGGGTCTCCTCTGCATGCTGGCTGACATCAGCCTCATGAGCGGACATGCTTGGCAGATGTTTACCCTGCATTTGTCTGCCCTGTCTCTACTATCTTCCCCCAGAAGAAGGATAGTTAGCCTTATTCATAATACTTTATCTGTTTACATTCTCACAGATGTCTTGAACCCTTGGTTCAGAATGGAAAATGTAGGAAGAAAAGAGAAATTACAGTGCAGGAAGCTGGATTAAGAAATACAGGATTTCTGGTTTTTTTTGTTAATGTCTACCAAGATTCCCAGATTCACCACAAGCCTTTGGTTATTGTGGTTTATTTGTTAATGTCTAAATATATATATATTATAATATATAATAATAATATTATATCTATCTATATAAAACCTGAACTTTTTGCGTATTATGTGAGAAAAATTCCAAGGATTCTTTTTCTTCCCTGCTTGTACATATTTTTTTTTTTTGTTTTCCAGTGTCTTGGGTTCTATCTTCCTTAACAAATACAATTCTGATATGTTATATTTCTTTCTACAGAATCAGATCTTGGAAATTTTAAATAAGTTTCTTCCTAGCTTAAATCTTTTTGTGTGTTTTCAAAATTGACATGTATAGACTTTCTTTCTCAATGCTAGTACTTTCCCTGGATTGTGAGGTCCTATCTAGCATATATTTCCGTTGACATGATGGACCTTTGGCTGACGTGTGTTTTTCTTCCTTCATCTCATGTAGGATATTTCGAAGATGGTTTGGCTGCCTTGGAGATTTGGAGATCTGATGCCACGATGAGGACTCACACACGGGGGGCTCCCAGTGTGTTTTTCATATATTTGCTTGGCTTTGTGTCAGCCTATGTTACTGACGAGAACCCAGAAGTCATGATTCCCTTCACCAATGCCAATTACGACAGTCATCCCATGTTGTACTTCTCCAGGTCAGAGGTGGTGCAGCTGCAACTGAAGGCAGCCAGCACGCATGAGCACATTGCAGCCCGAATCACGGAGGCTGTGCACACTATGCTGTCCAGCCCACTGGAGTACCTGCCTCCCTGGGATCCCAAGGAATACAGTGCTCGCTGGAATGAAATTTATGGAAACAACTTGGGTGCTTTGGCGATGTACTGTGTGCTCTATCCTGAGAACGTCGAAGCCCGAGACATGGCCAAGGACTACATGGAGAGGATGGCAGCGCAGCCTAGTTGGTAGATTTTTGTCTTTTTCTTCTTACTGTGTTAAATGTGCATTTATGGTGCGAATTCAAGAAATGAATCCATGTGCAGATGAAATTCCTGAGGCTAGATTTCTACATACTATTTTATATGATGGAGAGGTTATGCATTATGTGTGTAGCCAATCCCTGATGAATAGCTCTTGGTTTGAAAATACCTAGTACTTTCCCTACTTAGTTAGAAAGAAAATATTTAAATGCAATCTAAAGAAAATATTTAAATGAAGTTGGGGGGATAATTTGCTGAATTGGGTAAATAGCTTCAATCATTATCCTAATTGTTGAGGATTCTTTCTTGTTGTTGAACATTGTCACCACCTGTTAGATTGAAAACTTTTTGTCAGCAATAATTTTCAGCCAATTAAGATTTATTTTATGACAATAAGGAGCTAAAAGTCAATGTGATGGAATCAACTGTTCACTTATAAGTAATATCCTATGAAATAACCAGAAGCTATATCTGTGTAATGTGAGAAATTCTAAGTGTGTAATAATTTGCTTTAAGTTCATGATTTAAGAACACACTTCGTGTCTTTTCACTCTATATTTGCTTTAATTTTATTTTGTTTAGAATAAGTATTTTTATTTACTTCCCAGAAGACAAGGGGCGAATTTATTTCTGTAAGGATTCAGCCAGTATTTTTTATTTAAACTGTGTATTAATAAGCATTCACGTTCAGTTGCACTAGAAAAATACGCAAGTGGTATGAAATGCTCTTGAAAGTATGCAAGCTTATAGTTATGGACGGGGAAAGCTCGTTTTTAAATGATTAGAAGTGTCATTGAATGCATTTAATGCTGTGATGAATTGCATCTTATATGTCACAGAGGTAAGGAAGGTAGTTTACAAACTTCCTGATAAATTTCTGGAATATCTTAATATGAAAGACTGTGAAAGTGTTGTCATTAAATCTGTATTAGCTTTTATTGTAGTCTTGTTTTAAAGTGTAAAGTAATTTTGAAACTTGCAATACTTTAGGTTAAAAAAAAAAAACCCTTTTTTGTTTATTTCAAAGCTTATCCATATATATTGTGTGTAGCAGTTTCTGACTTTGATTCATACTAACTGATCTTCCTCTCTTTCTGACACCAAGAAAGCAAGTGAAAGATGTGAAAACTCATCTGATAGCAGGAGTACATGATTATTTTATCAAGTATTACCATAACTAGCTTGACCTTTGTGTTAATAGGTTAAAATGATAATGATACATTATTTTTTTAATCCTACTTCAAAAAATTTGTTTTCTCCTAGTTCCTACAAGTTCAGATTTACTAACTATGGGTGCTGTCTAGGAATTTTCTAAAGGATTAGGATCACGGTAGTTTTGGTGAAATTATGTCTAACTCTATTCCATGCAAAAACTCAAAAACCAGTGTATGACTTAGTAGTTCTGTGCAATAGAGCTGGATAGCTGAGACTTAGAAATTGAGACTTTATTACATCTAATGTTTAGTTCCAGAAGTGATCTTGTGGGTACTTTTTTTAAGGGTATGCTATTAAAATAAATTTACTGAAGATTTACTTATATATATATTTATATATTAAAATATTTATTACAAAGATGAGGGAGTTACAGACTCATGTGGGCCTCTGATGAAAATTTACTTTGTGAATATGACTGTATTCAGTTCCTAGGCTTGTAAACTTAGATTTCTACAAGATCAATTTTGACAACTTGATCAAATGTTCTTACAGTTCTCTTACTCTGTTTAAATTATATGTCCTCACTGTTTACAGAGAAGTACATCTTGAGTGTTGTCGTACTTTTAGGACATTGTTTGCATATGTTTGATTTCAGAAAGAAAAGTTGACCTTTATTTACGAAAGAGATATTATTAACATTATGGCCTTTAATCAGAGTGAGTATACCTGCCATTTGCCTTGAAGAGTATTTTCATTCTTGTAAACCAGTGTTTACATTTTGATTACTCACTTGCTCATTCAATCAGCCAACAAATGCTTATTGGGCATTTGCTTGTGTATGATCCTGTAACCTAGGGATTCAAAGCTGAAGAAATAGCCTGGTAATTCTGTAGTGTTCAGGGCAGCTGGTGTGGACATTGGCTTTATGAAACCTAAACTGGAGCTATTTCCTCTGCTCAGAATTGAAGGTGAGAGTAATTGAGTAAAGATTTCAATAATTGTTTTTTTTAAGATTTATTTAATTTTATTTAAAAGAGAGAAGGAGACACACAAGAGAGTTCTTCCTTCCACTAGTCCATCTACTCACATGACTGCAACAGCCAGACCTGAGCTGGTGGAAAGCCAAGAGCCAGGGGCTTCTTCTGGGTCATCCCTGTGGGCGCAGGGGCTGTCCTTCTCTACCTTTTCCTAGGCTATAAGCAGAGGCTTGGTTTGGAAGTGAAGCACCAGAGACATGAACTGATGCCTATATAGGATGCTGGTACTGCAGGCATAGGATAAGAGAGCTATGCACTGCACCAGCCCTGGATTGCATTAATTCTGTTCTTTTTTTTTCTAACCAAGATAAATAATCAGCAAACATGTAATTCTTACTCATCACTTAAACATTAATATTGTACTGCACTCTAGTGTGGTGGAAAGGCAACTCTGAAGTTGCTGCTGCATTGGATTTCCAGGTCTCCTTAGTCCTTAAAGTCTGTTACTTCAGATTTACTTCCTTAATTTTTCTGAGGATTGATGTATATGTGCTAATAATATTGGAGCACCATTATGGGGTTATAAGGAGAATTATTTGATTTAATCAGTATAAAGTATTTAGTACAATTGCTTTTATATCATGAGCCTTCGATAATACTGAGAGTAACAATCATGACGTGACTGCCACAGCTATCTTCCTCAGTACTTAGACTCTGGTTTGTAAGTTGACGTTGCTGGGCTCTAAGGAAACAATATTTGTTTGCAAATTTTACTGATCTTTGTTTAACTGGTCTTAAATCTAGAGCATCTGTTTAACTTGTGAAAGTTTCCTTTTGGCTTTGTTTTCATCAAAACTCCAGCAAGGCTCCCCTGGGTCCTTTCTTTATGTATACAAGAGTCTTAAGGTAACACCAATGAGCAAGACTTGGAGGAAAGTGTCTTTTGCCTGGTAAACAAAAGTACATATGAGTGTACATGCATACAGATTTATTAATGAGGGTCATTTCATTTGAGTGTTTAGTAAATAAAGAGCTTTAAAGTTCACATTTGCTGAATCATTTGAGTCTTTGGCATTTGTGGAAGAATAGTTAAATGGAAACTTTGAACATTTAATGGTGTCTATCTAGGCCATGTAGGATACTACATAGTAGAAAGGAAACCTGAATAGATTGGTTCTGATGATGGTGGTAATTAAAACCTAACAGGAAGCATTGCAATTGTTTGTGTCTTCGGGCACCACAGAAAATGAAGCAGCTATCTGCTGTCATCTGCCTTTCAGAGGGGCCCACCTCCTCTTGCAGAAGCTCTCTCCTTTGTCCTTTTTCTTTCTTCTAATGCACCCACACTGGTACTCAGAGTAGCATATTTTTGTTTTTTCTAAGAGTTGAACTTTGAAACATATCATTTTAACCTAACAGAGTCAGTTATAGTTGGCTCTGTTGTATACAGCAACTTGATTAGAACTTAATATACAGCCACTTTTAGAAGGATTAGTGAATCAACACCATGAATCTAGGGCTGGTAACAATTGATAACACAGCTTATTGTGCTTAAAGAGAATTGTTTTATGTAACATCCCACATGGTCACTGCAGTAGTTCTGTGTATGCCAGTTGGCACATGGGACTATCCTCATTGATAAATAAATGCTTTCTGCATTTACGACCTGAAAAACTAAAAACAGAGACAGTTGGATTCCAAAAAACTAACAATCCTCCATTGAATTTTTTTTTTCTTCCAAAGTCTTGATTTCTATGTAGGGAATACCCCAGTGCTTAGTAGAAATGTTAAGGGTATAACGGTATTTTCAAAAAAACCTGATTCTTAGAATGCTTGGGGGAGTGGGGGAATTGACAGATCTTTTTTCCTAAAATTTTCATAATATGTATGTTATATGAAGGGCCCTTCACACATTTTATAGAAACTACATATTATATTTTATTGTCTTTCTACAAACTTTTTGAAATATCCTCATATTTTTATTTACCTGCTTGTACTATTTCTACTGTACTTTATCTGAGAAAGATGAAAGAAACATTAAATACGAGATTGAAATCAGGAATAGCTGACAACAAGAAAAAAAAGGGGGAATGACTGGGAATGTTTACTGGATGAAGAATGAGACCTTTGCTAAAATGTATCTACACATCACTGGCTGGCTGCAAGTGGCTCAGTGAAAGTAGGATTGATTAGTCAGTTTGGGAGTTTACTATCCTCGTGAATTTACAAGACCAGTTACTCTGTAGAACTGCTACTTTCAGCCCAATTATCAGAAAGAGTTTTTCTTGGATCTTTAAAAAATCTTTTTATTTTATTATTTGAAAGGCAGAATTAGAGAGAGACACATACAGACAGAAAAATGAATGACAAAGAGGGGAGAGAGAAAGTGAGAGAGAGAGAAGGAGAGATAGAGAGAAACAGAATGACAAAGGGGAAAGAGAGCTGTCCATTTGCTGGTTCCCTCCCCAAATGGCAGCAACAGCCAGCACTGGGCCAGGTTGAAGCAGGAGCTTCTTCCACGTCTCCCATATAGTTAGAGGGACCCAGAGACTTGATCCATCTTCCACTGCATTCTCAGACACGTTATCAGATGAGGGATGCACTCTTAGATGCATTATCAGGATGGGAAGTGCAGCGACTGGGATTCCAACTGTCATGCACTTGGTTGCCAGCACTGTAGGTGATGGCTTAATCCGTTTTGCCATAACGCCAGCCCCTCTCCTGGATTTTTTATGAATAATTCTCACAACCCGCTCATAAAGATCCTTGTGGTGTCTGTGTGGTGTATCGTCGGTGCCTAGCAGTGGCGACACTAAAATGACGAGGCTCGCTCTTGAGGGTCCGGGAAAAGCT